TCATTTCTGATGAAGGGTCTAGGCCTGAAACGTCAGCCTTTCTGCTCCTATGATGCTGCTTGGCCTGCTGTGCTCATCCAGCTCTGCACCTTGCTGTCTCGGATTCTCCAGCATCTGCAGTTCCTACTATCTCTGGGCAAATATTATGAGTTTGGAAGGTACTGTTGAAATAGCCCGAGTGTTTGCGAGTGGATCTTGTACATTGTACAAACTGTATTCATAAGTCAAACAGTGAAATGACTGTTAAAGGTGACTAGGTGTAAAACTGTTAAAGCTAATCAAGCACACAGTGTTATTGGAGTTGTATCCATTCAGCCAAGTGTAGAGTACTCCATTATTCCTCGGAATTGTGCTTTGTAGATGGTGAACAGGCATTGGAAGACAGGAGGCAACTTACTTACCACAGAGGTCCTGGCCTCTGATCTACTTTTAGATGGTCCAATTCAGTTTTTGCATGAGTAACCCCTAGAAACATGATAATTGTGGATACAGCAATGGAATGTCATTGGAAGTCAAAGGGAGGTGGTAAGTTTTTTAATTCTTGGAGATCATCACTGCCTGACATTCAAGTGGCAAATGTCCTTGCATCAACGTTCAACCCAAGCCTGGATGTTGTCTAAGTCTTGCTGCACGTGGATATGGGTTTCTTCAGCAAATGAGGAAGAGTGACTGGTGATCACTGTGCAACCATCAAACAGTCCTATTTCTGGCATTATGATGGAGTGAAACTAAACAAAGAAGCAGCTGGAGATAGTTAGGCCTAGAACACTACCCTGAAGACCTCCTGCAAGGTGCTGTAGGGTTGACAGGATTGACCTCCAACAATCACAGTCAGCTTCCTTTCTATCTGGTAAGTCTTCAACTAATGGAGAATTCTCCCCCGAGTCCCATTGACTCCAGTTTTGCTAAAGATCCTTAATGCCATTATCTGTCAAATGCTATCTCAATGTCAAGGATAGTCACTCTCAGCTCATCTCTGAAGTATCTTCCTTTTGTCTATGTTTGAACAGAGGTTGTAAGAGATCTAGTAGTAAGTGGCCCTGGAGGAAATTAGCAAATTATTGCTTGATTGCACTTGTGATGACCCCTTCCATCAGTTTACTAATGAAGAGTAGACTGATGGGGAATACCTAGCTAGCTAGGATTTGTCTTGCTTTGTGTAAAGCAATTTTCCACATTGCCAGTATTGCAGCTGCATTGGAATAGGTTGGCCCAGCTATCAGCATTTCCTGAGGCAGAAGTACTATTCTCAGAATTTTGTCTGAGCCCATTGCCTATGCAGTATTCTAGGTTTTCAGAAATTCTTTCATTTCACATGGAGCAAATCAATTTGGCTGAAGTCTGGTATGTGTGATGTTGTTGACCTCTAGAGAAGGCCAGATGGATTATCCACTTGGCACTTCTGGATGAAGATTGCTTTGAATTCTTCAGCCTCATCTTCTGCAATGATGGGACTATTGAAAGTGGTGCTGTGGAGCCTCCTCTCCACGGAGTTGTTTAATTGTCTGCCACAACTAGATGTGGCAGGTCTGCAGAGTTCAGACCTTTGTCAGCTTCTGATTCACTGACTGCGGAATCACATATCCCTATCTATGCATGCCAATCAAAGGGTACACCAGGCAAGTAACCCTATGTTGTAGCTTCATTAGGTTAACACCTCATTTTTAGTTATGCCTGGTGTTGCACCTGGCATGTCCTCCTGCAATCTTCATTGAACCAGGGCTGATCTCCTGGCTTGATGGTAGCAGTAGAGTGGAGGATATATGAGGCCATTAAGTTAGAGATTTTGGCGAATATAATTCTGCTGGTGGCCTTCAGAATCTCATGGACGCTAAGTTTTGAGTCAGTAGAAACGATTCACCTATGAAGAGAGATTAGATACGCTGTGAATATTTTCCTTAGAGTAGAGAAAACTGAGGAGTGACTGGAATGAGGTGTACACCGTACGAAGGATATATATAGGGTAGATAAGAAGAAATTTTTTCCCTTAGTAGAGGGGTCAAAAATTAAGGGACACAGTTTTAAGGTGAAGAGCAGGAGTTTTTAAGAGGAATTGAGGAAATATTTTCATCCAGAGGATGGCAGGTATCTGGAACCCACTACATAAAATGAAGAGTAGAGGCTGAAATTCCGAAGACATTCCAGAAGTATTTAGATAAGCAGTTGAAATGTCATATCTTACAAGGCTACAGACCACATGTTGGAACATGAGATTAGAATAGACAGATGCTTGATGACTGTGGCGGACAAGAGGGCCAAAAGACTCTGCACTGTAAAAACTCTACGACTATTACTTTTAATGGGAAATCCTTCATTTTGAAACAGTGTCCCCTCATTCTGGGGTCTCTCACAAGGCAAACACACACCTCAATAGGAACTCTGTCAAGTGCCCCTGGCATCTTATATGCTTCAAAAAGATCACTTCTGCATCTTTTAAACTGTAATGGATACAGTCCAGCCTATTCAACCTTTCCTTGTAAGGAATCAATTTAGTGACCCAATTCTTTAAGGTAGCCAAAACTATATAGTACTCTAGATACAGTCTCATCAACACTGTATACAGCTATAGTAAGACTTTCCCATCTGATTACTGTTGTCGACATCTGGCCGAAACAAAAATGTTGCATTTGACTTGATCATCAAGGATCTCATTTCAGTGTAGCAAATTAAAACTAATGGAAGCAGAAGCGTCATTTGAAACAATTTCATTCTTTTATGAACCTTAAATGCAGTCATGAATAAGCTATGCCAGCTTTACTGTACTTCACTTACCAATCTGCTAAAGCCCAGCCATCCACAGCTAGCATCCCACTTTTTATACCCTGCAAAATATCCATGGGAACCTCGGAGTGTTGGATTGAACTAATTATCTGACAGATCACAGCAGAATCTTGAAGAATAAGGGCTATAATTATACACCACTCCAAACAGCTAGCTTCCATAAAAACGTGCATCAGATACCTGAAAGAACAAACAGTCCATCAGTCCATTCAGAGAGAGGTGTCACAGGTATCTGTAGGAATTGAGCCTCCAAAACTTCTAACTTTTGGGACTGCATCATTCTAAAAACATTTATTTCTGCCAATTTTCTATCATTTCAAAATATGTATTTTAAAATTTTAGCTGAAAGTATAATCTTTAACATAGAAATATACAAATTAAGAATATCAAATGACTTTGTTATTTCCACAGTCTCGAAAGTAATTTTAATCTTCCTTTAGGAAAGAATGCTTGAATTACTGTCAATCCTTAAAATTTTTATTTGGCTTTTCTTGATTGAGAAAATTACCTGGAATTCCTGACCCTTTAATTTATCATACCCTATCCAAGTAAAAGTGCCTGTTGTCACATGGAGTTTTGGTAATCCTTTTGGAGCCAATGGATTTGGATTTATAAAACAAAATACGATTAGAAAGTTACTTACCTTAACTGAACCTGTGACTTGCGAGGGCCTTTGTTGGCCAGCTCCATTGATATATATTCCAATTCAGACTGTGTTAGACTGAGTGCAGAAAAACCTTCATCCACCATAGTCCAGTCACCATCTACCATAGAACTGGTTTCTGTAAGATCAGTAGCTGACCCGATACTGCATTCATCACCTAAAAGTCAAACAAAACAAATCATGTAACTGATCAAGAAAGTTCAAAGAATTTCATTAAATTTTCGATATTATTTCCTACATCTACAGAATTGCAGATGCTAATAAGAACAGTTCGAGCAAAAAACTACTTGAGAAAGAAGTTTCAAGTTCCCTCGTTCTCATAGCTGTCACAGGAAGCTCTAATGACTTCACCACAAAGTAAATCATGGAAAAGTTGATATTGGCACAATGAGTAAGGAATGCACACCACAGACAAGACTTCCATTATGAAACAGAATTTAAGATCCCCCTCAATAGCTAACAAAATTTAAATTCACCATCACAAGCATTTCCTTAACTTAACCAAATTCAAAAAATGTACTTCTTGCCAAAAATACAAAAGTAGTGGGTGCTATTCGTGAGAATGAATGGACATAAAGGAGCAGAATTAAGCCATCGGCCCATTCAGTCTGAACAGCCATGGTCAAATGGTGGACATGTTTCTCAGCCCCATTCTCCTGCCTTCTCCCCATAACCTTGATCCCCTTACAAATCAAGAACCTATCTCTGTCTTAAATACATTCAATGACTTGGCTTCCACAATCTTCTGTGACAATGAGTTCCACAGATCAAATACCCTCTGCCTGAAGAAATTCCTCCTCACCTCAGCTCTAAAGATTTGCCGAAGACTGTGCCCTCGTCTCTCTTACTGGTGGAAACATCTTCTCCACATCCACTCTGTCCAGGGCTCTCAGTATTCTGTAAGTTCCAATAAGATTCGCCACTAGCCCTCTAAACTCCATTGAGTACAGATCCGGAGTCCCCAACTGCTCACGTGACAAGCCTTTCCCCCCCAAGATCATTGTTGTGAATCTCCTCGGACTCCATCCAACACCATCACATACAAGACACGAAACTGTTCACAATTTACAAATGCGATCTGACCAAAGCCTTATACAGGCTCAATAGTACATCATTGCTCTTGCGTTCCAGCCTTCTCAAAATGAATGCTAACACTGCATTTGCCTTGCTAACTGCCAACTGAACCTGCAAGTCAACCTTAGGAGTCTTAGTTCATGATTCTCAAGTCCATTTATGCTTCAGATTTCCAAAACCTTTCCTGATTTAGAAGATAGCCTAAGCCTCTGTTCTTCCTTACAAAGTACGTAACCTCACACTTGTCCACATTGTATTCTATCTGCCACTTTTTTGCTCACTCTTAGCCTGTTCAAATCCTTCTGCAGCCTCCCTGCCTCCTCAACCCTACCTGTCCCTCCATCTTTGTCTCATCTGCAAACTTAGCAACAGTGCTCTCAGTTCCTTCATCCAGATCGTTAATGCGTAATATGAATAGTTGCCCCAACATTGAACGCCGAAAAATCTCCAATAGTCACCGGCTGCATTCCTGCAAAAGCCCCTTTATCCCTATTCTCTGCCTTCTGCCAGTCAGACAATCCTCTATTCATTCCAGTATCTTGCTCCTTACACCATGGACTCTCATACTTAACAGCCTCCTGTGAGGCACCTCGTCAAAGGCCTTCTGGAAATCCAAATAGACCACATCCACTGGATCTCCTTTGTCTAACTTGCTTGCTACATCTCCAAGAATTCTAACAGATTTGTCAGGGACATGACTTCCTCTTGACAAAGCCATGCTGACTCAACCCCCACTTTACCATGTACTTCTAACTACTCTGCAATCACATCCTTAATAATGGACTCTAAATCTTACTTATGACCAAGGTCAGGCTAACCAGCCTATAATTTCCCATCTTCTACCTCCCTCCCTTCTTAAACAGAGGTGCTGTATTAGCCATTTTTCAATCTTCTGGCACTTTCTGTGACTCCAGTAATTCGTGAAAGACCACCAGCAATGCCTCTACAAATCTCTGCTATCTCCTTCGGAACCCTGGGGCGTAGTTCATCTGGTCTGGGTGACTTATCCTCTTATTTAGATCCTTCAGCTTCCCTAGCATATTCTCCTTAGTGTAGTGGCTGTCACTATTTCTATGCCTGACTTTCCTGATGTTCTGGTATGCCTTGGCACTTCGTAATAAAATAAACACCTTTTTAGAAGAACATATGCCCACTCATATGGTGCATCAGAAAACAGACAAAGGTTTTTTCTTACACCTTTTCAAAATAAAGTGTCAAATCAAACAAGGTGAGCATTAATGTCATCTCAATTGTATGGTTAAAGATAAGTGTAAACAGGTGATGGTACTGATTGAATAGTACTCTGAACACATAGCAGTTACGTCCATACCAGAAAGATCAGGGAGGAGTAGTCAGGAGGCAGAGATTGCATCTAATGAATAAACTTTTGATTGAAGCTATGTTTTATGCCTTTTTTTAAACTTTACCATCTGGCCTGGATCCAATTTAGAACAGAAATAAGGAAGGCATTACAAGAGTTGAGAAAGATGGTATATGGGTAGAGTAAATGTCAGAACATTTTGAAACTGGCCACATGGCTGTTAATTGAGACAGCGGAGACGCAGATGTGTTGAGGGAGGCTTGTGGAAGATGCCAGCATGTGAAAGATCGGTCCTTGGGTGACTTAAGTTTGAAATACAGGAATATGAAGTGAAGCCATTGCTAGAGATTCTAAGTCTGTCAACTCTGGTTGGATGCATTCCTGGATCTGTCACCAGCGGTGTTCCACAGGGATTGGTTCTGGGTCCTCTTCTGTTTGTCATTTACATAAATGATTTGGATGAGAATATCAAAGGCATGGTTAGTAAGTTTGCGGACGACTCCAAAATTGGTGGTGTAGTAGACAGTGAACAAGGTTTTCTAAGATTGCAGAGGGATCTTGATCAAATGGGTCAATGGGCTGAAAAAAATGGCAGATGGATTTCAAACTGGATAAATGTGAGGTTTTGCATTTTGGTACCCAACAAGGGTAGGGCTTATACAATTAATGGTAGGGCCTTGGCAGTGTCGTTGAACAGAGGGACCCAAGGGTGCAGGTAAATAATTCTTTGAAGTTTGCTTCACTTATAGACAGGGTGGTTAAAATGCTTTTGGCTCACTTGCCTTCATTGCTTAGTGATTTGAGTACAGAAGTTGGGAAGGCATGTTGACACTGTAAAGGACATTGGTGAGGCTTCTTCTGGAATACTGTGTCCAGTTCTGGTCGACCAGTTATAGGAAGGATATTATCAAGCTGGAGAGGGTTCAGAAGAGATTTACCAGGATGTTGACAGGTATGGAAGGTTTGAGTTGAGAAGGCTTGATAGGCTGGGACTCTTTTTCCACTGGAGCATAGGAAGCGGAGAAGTGACCTGGTAGAAGTTTATAAAATAATAAGTGGCGTAGATAGAGTTAATGGTAGTTGTCTTTTCCCTACGATGGCACATATTAAGACTAGGGGGCATATTTTTAAAGATGGTGGGGGGGTGGGGAGAAAAAGAGATTTAAAAGAGACATAACAGGCAAATTCTTTACACAGAGGGTGGTTCGTGTGTGGAATGAACTTCCTGAGGAAGCGGTGGATATAGGCACAATATCTAAATGTCTTTTAAACACCGTAAAGTACATGAATAGGAAAGGTTTGGAGGGATATGGGCCAGGAGCAGGCAGGTAGGATCAGTTTAGTTTGGGATTACGTTCAGCATGGATTAGTTGGACTGATGGGTCTGTTTCCATGCTTATGACTCTATGATTTGTTCCCATCATAGTTCAATACTTAATCAAAGGGCATTTTGATCATTTTTGCAAATGTTCTTGCATTTACTTTAGTTAACTGTCTTAATATCACCAGAATGTTATTTGGCTTTTTGTTTCACTGTAACATGAACATTATATGTTACAGATTTAGGAACACACAACATACAGCTTTAAGAATAAGTAATGTTTTAATTTAAACTACATTAGGTGTTTGTGAAGTTTTGACTGCAATGAGAAACATCAAGTATACATCACAAAATCGTAAATGTAAGTAACTTCATATTCTTTCAAAGACTTTTTTATTTTTCTGTCATTTTGATTGTGGTCAGAAATGGAGAAAGAGCTGTTATAAAAACTAAGGGCTGTGGAAAGGATTGCTGAACTTTAAAACAAGCTACCTGACACTCATTGTAAGTGCTGTTTACACTGCTGCTTGTCAACCAGTGGGAGAGGTTACTGCAGAAAAGAAGGAGATTTGGCTGGTAACAAGTAGATGACTGTGGAATGGTGAATCACTGTTGATGGCAAAGGTCTTCTGCCTGCCAAAAACTGTGCAATTGACTCCTAAGTAGCCCAACAGCTTGTGGGTGAGAACGTTTGGACAATAACCACTGGACCTCCAAAAAGGAAGGTGCTGAGCTCTCTGCAGCAAAAACCATTGCAAGATAGAAGAAAGCCTGTTTATTTTCCATCAGCTGATGTAAGCAAAGGCTCTCAACCAATAAGTCAGAGACTTAATAAGTTGTCAACCAGTTGCTCAGTGCCTCCTGCAGCCAAGTGAAAGCACTTGAAGGAAGATTGAGGAACAACAGGTCCTGAGAAACCAAAAGCAAGTCCCATGGACAGGGACAACTGAACTGCCTTCCTAGTCTTTCCCTCCACCCATAACACTCATGTTTTCTTTGTGTCTATCTATAGATGGTGTAAGGGAGTTTCACAAGGAGTTGGAGTTTTAACTAATAGAGTTATATGTCAATGTCCATAATTGCATACTGGTGGCCAGAATCTGTGGTAAACAGTAATTTTTGTTAAAGTATAGAAACTTGGTCTATGCTTTCTATCAACCTGGGCATAAAGGACAAGTAAATTGGGGAATTTCATGTACTTATTTAAATCCTTTAACTTTTGTGACAATTTCAGGAATAGTAGGCTTTATTTGCAGTGTGCTACCCCAACATGGTGTAACACTAATACACAGCAAACTGCAAAAGTAACAAAACCAAAACCACAATTAATTAAGTTCACTGTCTTCCACATCATGCACAGATACTCAGCCTCAGGAAGGAATAGCTGCAGGCTCCTTGAACATAAAAAAGTACACAGTAGAGTACATTAAGATTCTCCTCTCCTCCATCAGTTAATTATAGCCACATTCCCTCCTTGTTTCCATCATTCTTTAGGACCGAACATCTAGCTGATTTTCTCAGGCTCCAGACAGCATGTCTGGGTTGCAAGCAATGGCAAGCAGGTGTGGGCGCATATGGACCATGCATACAAAGGGACATTTCTCCTAATCTGCCAGCAATACTGGAAGGCCAACTCTCCATTCTGGTTGATACGCTGCCAAAGTGGGAGGGTGGTTCTGTTAAACTAGACAAAAGTAACAATGTCCAGGATTGCCAATTTCAGTTAGGTTTTCTTAAAAATATTGCTTGGGCATTACTGGCCAGAACTTCAGTTAAGAATCATCTTGTTCATGTCATCAAGGTCTCTTATTGCATCAAGCAGTTGAAGCTAGTAAATCGCATTCGCTGATTGGGTGCTTATATCTGTTTGATATTTTAAGAAGTTCTCACAAATGCTTTTATATTTAAGCGTTTAAAAAAGATAGAAATTACAAATAATTTTAATGTACTGCATCTTCTTTGTTTTGAGCACTTATTCAGTTATTGGAGAGTGAACGAGAATGGCCTTAACTGAAAACGAAATGAGACTGAATAAACCAAATTGAAACTGAAGCAGGGCACAGAAGAAAATTCAGGCCACTGAGTTAAAGGGCAAGCTGGTGTGGACAGAGCCCAGATAGTTAGTGTTTAAGGTGTAGAAAACGCACAGCAGCAATATTCTGAGAATGCAAGCAAAAATCAGAGCAGAAAATGTTATTTCTCCAAAATGATTGATCCAGCAGGAATGGAGTGAGTGAAATTTAGCTATAAGATCACTATAGCTGGTTGGAACATAGGGAACTAACCTCCTATCTCTGTGGTTCATTGACCTCAATGTGCTGTATAACAGATAACTAATCACATCATAATTCTGAAGAGAAGTACCTAATGTTTTGAAACTGTATTTTAGCAACAGTAGGGGGGTAAATGCACTCCCAGCAGTTTGAATTTTCTAAACAGAGGCTTTACGCATTAAAAATACCTTCCCTTCAAAACCTGAAATCACTGTGCAGTATATATTCAATAATTTAAAGAGTGCCAACATTTAGCAGAAGCACTGTAAAGGCAATAAGGTTTCCACATTCACTCAATTGCTATTTCACCAACATAGAGAAAAGACACAAACATGTATTTACATCTCAGATCATCAAATGTTTTTGATAAGTTGCAAGGTACAGCTCATGTTACAAGTACAACAGGCATAATAAAAAAAATTAAAATTTAAATCTATTAAATTGCTCAGCAATCTGGAAGCAATGCTGAGTAAGAGAGGTGCATTAATGTTTCAAGTTCTAATGCAAGGTCAATCAACCTGAAATGTTAACTCTTTCTCTCACCATAAATGCTGTCAAAACTGCGGAGCACTGAGCATTTTCTGATTTATTTCAGAAACAGTGTTCTGTATTGCTTTGATCTTCTATTAGGCTCATCATATAGTCAGTTACCTTTGCCATACTTCCATTGTTAGACAATAAATAAATAAGCTAATACATTTTAATTCCATTTCCTGTCTCACCATTAAGCCCTTTATTTTACACTTGTTAAATGTGCTGTGACATGTTATAAAAGCTTTCCTTCTGCTTTTATTAAGAAGTGACTTGGTGAATTTAAAAAGAACAATAGAAGTATAGACATCAGGCTTAATACCTACACTGGGCTGTACTTTTCTATTTAATATTTTCATAATAACAAATGTTTACTTACCTTTTGAAAGTAACGGTGACAGAATCGCATCTTGTGTCTGAGGTCCTTGCAATGAGCCAGAATCTATTTGTGTGTGTGCAGTATTAAGGCTAAGGCAGCTGTGACCAGCACGTGCATTTATGACTCCACTCTCCAAATCACTGGTTACAAAAGTCTCAGTTGACTGCGATTTAAGAAACTGTTCTCCAACTGCAGAAAGTTAAAACAAAGATGCTACTTGGGTTCACTAGTTAGTTTTGTTTTTAAAAAAAAATCACTTCAATTATTTTGCTTCAGTATCCGCAGCAGAAAAGGAGGAAAGCTTACTAGAAGACCCAAAGAAATTAACAAAGGATCAAGGGCTAGGTCTAAAAACCATTAGCTTAAGAAAATCATCGAGTATGGGGAAACTGATGGAACAGAGGAGGGAAAAGTCCCCATGAGCCGATGTTTTCTATTCGTGGGTGTTGGAGGATGGACAGCACACTAATGATACCCTAACCTTAATCTTTTATAGCTCCCTTGATATAGGAGTGGTACCTTGGAATTGAAAACTTGCTCATGTCATTTTGCCTTCAAGAGGGAAACCAGATAGTTAATATTACTCCACTGTTTCTGTAATGCATAATCTTGAAATGAGTTTGAGATGTTAAAATGAAAAAATTGTATATTTAAAGACGCCAGTATTACCTGTTTTATATTTGCCATTTTTGAATGGTGAATTTACTAAACAGCTGGAAGGAATAACAGGAAATGGCCAAAGAAAGTCATTATGCAGTCTTTTTAAAGCCTTAACAAAATCCTCGACTCGTGCTGCTCGAGTCCTTTCTTTGCTGAGCCAGCCAATAAGCTCAAAACCCAGTTGTGCAGCAAAGCTACTGAGATCTTTTAGCCGCATCTCTTCCAGGAGTCTTCGTGCATGACGCCAAAGCATCTCATCTATATACATATTCTCAGCACTGTCAACGTCTTTACTCCACCTGAGGACAAAAGACAGAATTACACTCTATTCAAATAGTTTTCTTTTTAAAAAGTCAACACAAATGAATAAGTGAGCGCTTTGTAAACTTTATATGAATTTTAAAAAAAAACTGAAAGCCTAACGGTACATTTAAGCAGGTTCATTAATATACCTAACATGAACTGGATGAGAAAGTTCACATTTGCAATTCACTAAACTCGAGTTCTTGATCTCTGCTGCATTGCAATGGTATTGCCAAGGTGGTGCTTCAATAGTGGGGTGGGTGGAGAATGAAGGAGAGAGAGAACAAAATCAACTTGCACTGTTCTTGTGTACCTAGAACACTGGATAAGCATAGGCCTGGGTGCAGGCAATAGTGCACAGCAGGTAGGAAGCTCAACAGTGTGCTTTAGTTTTAGAATGTATTCTGTGGTGGCTGGTTAGTTCAGTTGGCTGGACTGGTTTGCAATGCAGAGTAATAATGACAGCAAAGTTCATTTCCCATACTGGCTGAGGTTGCAACGAAGGGCTCTCCTTCTCAACTTTTCCCCTAGCCTCAAGAGTGGTGACCGCCAGTCAGCTCTTTCTAACGAGGGGTCAGACCTATGGTCTGATTGGACTATGGTAACTTTACCTTATTCCCTGATGCTCGTAAAAGGTTAATATTCTTATATGCTGGGTTGTGCATTCTAACTGCAACATTTGAAACAAAAATGCTGCAGGATTGACAAATGCAAATTTTGGTATATCTAGATTAAGTTTATACAGGGGATAGATGTACTGAAAGATTATGAAATGTTCTTACTAAAACACTAAGAATTTTTTAAAAAGAGCTCTAGATTTCATAACACTTACATTAAAAATATTTGTAACATTTCTACTCTGTATTATGAAATGTGGATTAAAATACCCAAGCTCATCTGGTTTCTGCTTTGTATAGAATGAAGGGGAGAAGGAGGTTATTACTGCAATAAATCCTTACAATTAACCTTCTGCCACTTCATAACAATACAGTGAATCTTTCCTTCTTGTTTGTACTTGCTAGGCCAATAACTCAAGCTTAATAAAAGCAAAGTCAAACTATCAACAATAATTTATGTACATTATCTGTTTAAGACAAGAATTATGTTAGAAAATTAAATAGTAGGATTACCTTTTGGCCGAGGGCCCTGAAGGCATGCTTAATGTTTTCTGCAGATTAAATTTACTAGCAGTGAGACCTTCCAATGACTGTGAAAAACTGATGCTTCTATGTTTGAAGAACTCAAACCCACCAGTTGAGCTGGGTTCCTGTAATATAAGAAAGCATAATACTTAGATTTCAAAAATATTTAAGCAGCACACCATCTTTTATAACAATACCTTTTAGTGAATGGAAACAATTAAAAATAGACATCTAATATGCATTGGGAAGGATCCGGAGGGCGATCTTTTATTCCAGTCAACTACTGCAAATTGGGACTGGAGAGTTAATGTAAAGTTGCCATTCATGTAATGTGTAAGAGGTCTGAATTGAGGAGCAAAAGACGACAACACTAGACCGCTCAGGCATCTGCTGTTTCAAAGGTATGCTGAAGGCTTTGACCTGCTAATTCTTTTGAAATTATCCAAAGAAAAAGTTAAAACTCTAGCAACATGCAGCCAAAGTAACTGCCCTGGGATTTAAAAATATCTTGGTATTCAACTCTGATTCACTGTTTTTGCACTGGTTACCACAAATCAAGTACAATGCAAGAATTAGTTAGTCACTTTCTCATTTCTACCATGCAAATCTGCAACATTTTATGTTGTAGGTGGGCAGTTGACTAAACAGCTATTCCACTGCTAGCGCTTGACTTCACCAGTGCAATGCAAAAGCTAATAGGAAAAGCTAAATGCAAACTACCAATGCTGTGCCTCTGGAGTCTTGTACATGCTTAACCTAGGTAAGATCAACAGATCTCTCAGAGGACAGTGAAACATATGAGTTCTTACATCAATCAATAATCACAGTCAGACCTTCTGAGACTAGCTTTCAATTCCAAATGCATTATTTGGATTTAAGTTCTACTAGCTGCCATGGTGCAGCATATACCTCTTGGGTCTCTAAAATACACAGATATTATTGCTGTATCATCAATCGCTTCCCTGGCTGTTGCAAAGTTGACTGGGTCATATAGATAGCATCGAATGGTACAACTTTCGTGAAGATTGAATAATGTGCAGTGAATAACAAAGAGTTTAGCTGGCAGCACAATAGGAAAATTGTGATCACTACAACATGTGCTGATGTGCACTGAAAGAGGAGTCATTTTAATTTGTACCTGATGGGTTGGAGTTGGTGGAGGGGTCTCCAATTCTCCTGCACCAATGGCTTTCAAGAAACGGATCATATGACGACAAAGATCCCATTTTCCTTGTTCCAGAGCTGTGCTGAAAAGCAGTGTGGCATGCTGTCTACTGACCGCAGGGACCTCCATGTTCTATCAGAGGAAAAACAATGCTAAGTGAAGAGAGTGAGTTTGTTTTTAACTCACGAATTATGAACTTCATTGGTTGAGCCAGCATTTACTGCCCATCTCTAAATCACCCTTGAAGTAGTGGTGGTGAGATGTCACCTTGAAGGACTGCGATCGATCTGGTTTAAATGCATTCAGTGTGGTTAGGGAGTGCCAAGATTTTGACACAACACTGAAGGAACAGCAAATTATGTCTAAGTTAAGATGATGGGTGGTTTGGAGGGGAGTTATCTGGTGGTGGTGCTCCCATGTACCTACTGTCCTTATCCTTCCAGATGATAGCGGTTGCATATTTGGAAGGTTTTGAGTCTTGGTGAAATAATGGAGTGCATCTTGTTGACGGTACGTACTGCTGCAAATGGTGGTGGTGGGAGTGAACCTTGGTGGATGGGGGGGGGGCGCGGGGGGGGAGGGGAAGTCAATCAAGCAGGTTGCTTTGTCCTGGATTGTGTTAATTCACACAACATAGCACCTATTTTCACCTTGGCAAGAGAAAAATGCAGGTTCTTTACAGATAACATTTTCATTTATTCAGTGTCAAGAGTTCTTCCAGTTCCTTGCCAGAGTGCTTATGTGTTAAACCCAGGTGTTTTCAAACAAAGCTTCAGGCGTTAGTACCTGAAACAGTACTCAAACCAAAATGTCAAAACAGGAATAGGCCATTTAATATGAACCTAATTCAGGTGCAGAAAAGAAGCTGCTACAATTACCTGCAAAAGTGAGATAGCATGTACTTGAATCAGAATGGAATGTGGGTGAGTTTGCTACAGCTGTTCGGACTAATTTCAACCGGATCAGGAGTGTGAAGGGACACCGTATTATTACAACAGGGACACAACATACTTTTAGTAAAGGAACCAAGGCAGACAGAGCTCAGCCATGTTGAGTTTCAAGGGAATGAGCCAATGTTAGATGGCCTCTAATGGTAGGAGTATTACAGGTAATACGGGTAACATGGAATTGCAATGTTGTTTCCATCGCAGAGATGTGGTGGAGGGAAGGGCAGGACTGGCAACATTTCACAGTATAGGATCTTCAGGTGGGAAAGGGAGGGTGTAAAAAAGGTCGTGTTGTTTCAATGTGAATTAAGGAATCAATTACCGCAGCAAGGAGGGATGATATCTTGGAAGGGTCTTCAAATGAGGCTTTGTGGATACAACTTAGGAATAAAAAGGGGACACTCGTGTTGCTGGGAGTGTATTATAGATCAGTGAGCAGGCAACAGAAAAGCAGATATGAAGACAAGTTCCTGAGGTGTGTAAAAATAATAACAGGGTAATTATATCAGGGGATCATAACTTCCCCAACATTAATTAGGATAGTCATTGTGTAAAGAGTTCAGAGGGGCAGATGTCTCAAAATGTACTTTGGAGAGGTTTTTATTTCAACATATAGAAGGTCCATCAAGAGTGGGTGCAGTGCTGAACCGAATTCTGGGGAATAAGGCTGGGCAGGTGCTCAAGGCGGGAAGTGGGAGAGCATTTTAGTGATGGCAACCACATCACTGTACGTTTTAAGTTCATTTTTTAAAAGGAAAATGTTGGGTCTCCAAGAAAGGGTTTTTGATTGGGGAAAAACAGATTTTACTAAAAAAACAGTATCTGGTCAAAGTCAACTGGGAACAGCTATTTTTGGGTAAATCTACAGCAGAAAAAAGTGAGGGCGCTCAAATGGAATTGAGAGTGTACATGCCCAACACGTTCCCTTTGGGGTGAAATATAGGAACAACAAACTCAGAGAACCAAAGATGTCCAGGAATTTTCACGGCTGGATGAGAAGAAAAAGAAAGGCTTTTAACAAGATTAAAGTGAACAAATCAACGGAGCCTTAGTGGAGTGCAGAAAGTGCAGGGGAGAAACTTGAGAAAGCAATTAGAAGAGCAAAGAAAAACACTGGCAGGCAAGATTAGGGAGAATCTCAAGATAATTTATAAGGATATAAAAAGGAGGAAGATAACCAGGGAAAGAGTAGTGCCTATTAGGGACTAATGGGCAAACTTTGCTCGAGCCAGAGGACATTGGTAGGGTGTTAAAACAGAGTTCACACCTGTCTTCACTTTGAAAATTGAGGATATAGGGACAGGATTCAGGACAGGGACTGGACATTCTTGAGCAGTTTGATACAACGAGTGAGGAGGTATGAGAGATTGAGACCGTAGCAGAGAACAATAAATGTCAGTGCCCACATTTTAAGCTCAACTTATACCACATCTTAAAAATGGACAAAGCCCTAGCTTGAATGAATTGTATCTCAGGCTGCTGCAGGTGATCAGGGAAAATTATAGGAACTCTGACCCAAATTTTTAAATTCCTCTCTGGCCACAGGGCAACTGCATGAGCACTGGAGGGCAGAGGAAGCTTTTCTACTTTTCAAGAAGGTGGTAGAAACAAAAATCAGGGAATTTCAGACCAGTGAGTCTTAAACCAGTAATAGGGGAACTATTGAAGAAAATTCTGAAGAACAGAATTAATCTCCACTTGGGTGGTTTCATCAGGGGCATTCAGTATTTGTGAGAGGAAAGTCATGCATACAAATTTGATGAAATTTTTTCAACAGATGACCAGGTGTAGATGAGATTTGTTCAGTTAATGTAGCTTATATGGATTTCAGCAAAGCCTCTGACAAGGTTCCACATGAATACTGAACAAGAAAGTAAAAGCACATGGGATCTAAGATAACTTGGCAAGTTAGATCCAAAATTGGCTTAGTGGTAGGAGACAGAATGTGGTGGTAGAAGGCCATTTGTGTGACTGAATGCCAGTGTCCACAGTGTGCCACTGGAATCAGTGCTGGGTCCCTTACTCTTCATGATATATGGTTATAAATATAAACAGAAGAAATGTGGGATGGGGGGGCGGGGGGAAGATATGGAATGAATTTTAATGGGGGGAAAATACACTTGAAAATATACTTGTTTGCACTGATTGATGGAACATTTCACAATAGCAATCATGCATGTTTGTGCAGAAATTGGAATTGCAGTTTTATTTTTGAAAGCAAGAGGAATTTGTCCTCAGCCTGCCAACTGCATTTAAAGCGGAAATTGCATCATAGTATTACAAAACTCGTAACTGCCAATGTTTAAAAAGTGCCACATTTCACTGATAAATTTCTAAGCTTTCAAGATAGTGGTCTTACTCTTGTTGCTGCACCACATACCATATCAATAAGGGTAGGTAAGTGATCTTCTACCCAAACAGAAATCAGAATGGATAAACGGTCACAGAATTTATTCAGACTGTTCATTCCAGCCAACTAGCCCATGCTGATCCTTAAGCTCCACATAGGTGCGCATCCACTCTACAACCCAACTCAAACTATACATCATTCGATCCTTGGAACATATTGGGAAACATATGAGCTGCTCAAGGCAATAGCCTCCAATCAGAGCAGAGAACAATAAATGCCAGTGTTCACATTTTAAACTCTACCTATACCACAGCAAACTCTACACTACGAAGTATTTTGCCTATAAAAACATGTCAGTAGTGTTCTTGAAAACTATAGCAAAAACTCATTGATAACTCTAATGATGATGATGAAAAGCCTCTCTGAAGGGCCAGAAAAGGAGCACAATTGGTGGAAATAGTATTGAGTAAGTGAATGGAGAAAACAAACTTGTTAAAAAAACAGTTCCAGCAGTGTCTTAGAAGTAGACTTCCTGACATCCCCTTGAATTTCAAATAATTTTAGTCACAAACTGTGTTTTAAGCACCATGACTGGCATTTAAGGACTGGCACACCTTGAGCACTGTTGACCTGAAAGCATTGTTTGTTCACGTTCACATTTATGGTCGACTCCTTCTAAGACAAGGGTAAATTTGATAAGTAAACAACTGCTTTTATCAGCAATTTTCCTTTTCCATACGAGGAATTTCTTTAAACCACATTAATTTAAAAACTGCCCACTTCACCTTCTCCTGATAGCTCTAACTCTTGTTTAGGAGTCAGATGAATGGCAGTTAGCCCTCCAGAACCTGTTCATTCATCAGCTCAAAAGCAATATTGATAGCCAGTCTAATCAGCAAGATAGGATCGTTGACCATCTTCAGATGCGCAACTGACCCTCTCAGAAGTCCCTTTTCAATAGTGCAGACTGCACAGAGGGAGTTTAGTAGTCTGGGTTGCTGAAGTGTGAGCTTAAACTACTAATGTATACCCACATTAAACTTAGGATTTTCTTGAAACAGTTCAGTGCCACATATGACAGAACAGTTAGCCAGATGCGTCTTTTTCCTGTCAATTTACTCCTCTCCCCTTTTTAACGGTGCGTGATCCTATCAGTGACTTCAAGACCAAACTAAAATGTCTACTATTCCTACACTTACCTCTGAGTATCAGACGCCATTGGATGGAGGATGGGAGAGGAGGGCACCTAATAACTATATGACTATTTTGCAATGTTGTCATGCATGTATTTTGCAGCAGGGATGGCAGAAGTAGAAACCATAGCCAGTTTACCTCAAGTGCACTTGGAGCACTGAGACCAAACACAATGTCAGAGTGTGTTCTTGTGGCACAGTGGTGGTGCCCCTACCACTGAGCCAAAGATTTGATTCGATTTATTACTGTCACATGTATCAAGATACATTGAAAGGTATTCCTTTGCATGCTATCCAGACAAATCATACCTTACGTAAGTGCATCAGGTTAATAGAACAGAATGCAGAATATAGAGTTACAGCTACAGAGTAGGTGCAGAGAAAGATCAACTCTAATATGTGAGAGGTCTGTTTATAAGTCTGATAACAGCGGGGAAGAAGCTGTTCTTGAATCTGTTGGTCTGCTTTCAAATTTTTTTATCTTCTGCCCGAGGTCCAGTGGGAGGGGTCTTTGAGTTTATTGGCTGCTTTCCCAAGTAGGGGAAAGTGCAGATGGAGTCGATGGAAGAAAGGCTAGTTTTCATGATGGACTGGGCTGCCTTCAGAACTCTAATTTCTTGCGGTCTTGGGCACAGCAGTTGC